GGGCCTTTAAAACAGACTTATTTATTATGTGTTTAAAATGATTTTGATATGATGGAATGTTGATTGGTCCTGATCATATATAAGGTTTGTGAAAAATGAATAAAGAAGTTAAAATTCATCAAAAAGAAAAGGCTTCAGGCCCGTAGCCAGGGGCATTTGCAATGTTCGGGCGAACCCCCCCCCCCCCTTGCTTAAAATTCTTCCAAAATCATGCAGTTTTCACCATTTTGAGCACTTCTCAAGTGGTTTTAGCCATATTTGGGCCAAAATTGTCAAATATGAACCCCCCTGGAAATTTTTGAAAACTGAACTCCCCTTGGCAAATTCTGGCTATGGGCCTGGGCTTCTGCCTATGCATTTTAGAGTAGTCTGCTTGACAATTAACATTTCACTCATGGATTTATGACCAATTTAGTATTCTAGAATGTTCCCTGCATTTGGAGTGCTGGTCGCTTTATGCATACTGAATGGAAAGAATTAATTAATACATATATCTATATTGGGATTCAGTTGTCTGATTCAAGGAGTTGGCAACAGCTCTTGTTTTATGAGTTTCATGAAATAAATTTGCATCGATCTCATGATTATTCACATGGTAATTCCTAAATCATTTTGGAAAGTGGATCTGATGAGCCATAGTTTCCACCTGATGGCTTTTGTGAATTAATGTGGCAGCTTAGCAAATGAAAGTTGTGTCTTCAAAAAATTTAATGGATTCCAAATTGGAGTCACGTGCTATTTTCAGATATATAAAATTCATTCCATACATGGTGTACATCATATTTTTGCACAATGTACACAAATGTACAAGGTGAGTCAAAAAAGGTGACAAAAAGACAAATGCTTACAACTCAGCCATTCAGCATTGGTTTAAGGTCATTTGTTACAATTAAACCCTGTTCAATGTTCTTTCAGACAATCAAGTTTCATCGGTTCATTTCCAATACTAATGATTTTATGGCCATTTTACAAAAGGCTCTGGGTTTTGGCTCACCCTGTATCTACAGCATGATACAAAAATACCACCCACTTTTTTCGGAATTATTTTCTCAATAATGTTGAGGAATCTTCATGATTTTTTTATGTTTAAATAGAGTCTTAATAGAAAAAAGATTGGTTTGCTTGTATAGCATCAACAACTTGAAAATTAAGAGATATCTCATTTTCCATGTAGGCATGCTCTGACACAAAATCACTCAAAACTGCAAATTAGAAAATCTGTCTTTCTTAAAATTTACCAAATAAGCGAATCAATTCATCAAATTTGACCAAATTATTTAGGAAAATGGGAAGATATGGGTTTCGGACAACTCGGACCCTAGACAACTCTGACCCAAGACAACTTGGACCACTTTTTGAATTGATGGTTTTCATCATTGTCATTTTTTTATTTAATGTTTTTTATGACATATATTATATATTGTGAATTCATATATTGTGTTAATTCGATGAAATTGTTTTAAATTGAATTAACTATAATTTCAAAAAGTGGCCCGAGTTGTCTTGGGTCTTCAGCTTCAATATTCACTTACTGGTCTTACTTCTTAACTTTCATCAAATAAGTTAATTGAAAGCTTACCAATTGAAAGCTCTTCATCAAATAAATACAATATATAAACTCACAATATGTCATGCTAAACATTAAACCAATAATCCCCTTTTACTACAACCAAAAGTATAATTTCAGAAAGTGGTCTGAGTTGTCTTAGGTTTTTAGCTTCAATATCTTTTTTTACTTAATTTTCATCAAATAAGTCAAATTAAAACATTTTCATCAAATTAATACAAAATATGAAGTCACAATATATAATACATGTAATAATTTTCATAAATGAAAAGAATAAAACCACACATAATGATAAAAATCATAATTTTAAAAAGCAGTCCGAGTTGTCTTGGGACTGAGATGTCTTGGGTCCGAGTTGTCCAGGGTCTTAGTTGTCCATACCATTGATAATATATGACAATACCATTGATAATATATGACAATACCATTGATAATATATGATATACCATTGATAATATATGACATACCATTGATAATATATGACAATACCATTGATAATATATGATATACCATTGATAATATATGACAATACCATTGATATTATACCACTCTAAGTCCAATTACAGTTGTATAACATGGGTCTATAACGACAATATACAGTGGAGAGTGGTATATCGTCATCGTTTACAACTCCTCCGTATACACTCCAGCGTATACCACTGTAGAAGTGCATTCTGGGAAATAATGAATAAAAAATCATGATTTCCTAGAATCAAGTGACGTCATAAATCAACATCAGCATTATTGAGTTGGCTGTCAATTGGATATTTTTATGGTTTTCAATTGTTATGATTGTGTTCGAATCAACTGTAATTGAACTGAGAGTGGCATAATAAGATTATATAATGGTTCATTCTGTATATCGTGCATTTTATACTCTCGTGAGAATATAATATATTCACTCGTTCGCTACGCTCACTTGTGAATATATCATATACTCACTCGAGTATAAACACGATATACAGAAAGAACCATTATATAACCTCATAATATATGATATACCATTGATAATATATGACAATACCATTGATAATATATGACATACCATTGATAATATATGATATACCATTGGTAATATATGACATACCATTGATAATATATGACAATACCATTGATAATATATGATATACCATTGATAATATATGACAATACCATTGATAATATATGATATACCATTGATAATATATGACAATACCATTGATAATATATGACATACCATTGATAATATATGATATACCATTGATAATATATGACAATAACCATTGATAATATATGACATACCATTGATAATATATGACAATACCATTGATAATATATGATATACCATTGACAATATATATGTAACGTAATGAAAGCAATCCAGCAATTACTCAAATAATAGCAAAGACAGAAATCCTGATTTCAGAAAATTGCACTTTTTAACATTTTTTGATGATTTCACCAAGTGCATGACTTGATGGAAAATGTGATATATCTAAATCTGAAAGTTGTTGATGCTATCTAAGTTCAACAATCTATTTTCATTGAACACTCTATCTACAGAAACAAATCTTGTAGATTCCTTAATTTTTGAGACAGTTATTTCAAAATTAGTGGGTGGTTTTTTTGTGTCACACTGTACATGTACTGTAGGTTATAAGGTCGGGGTCGATAATTTTTGACAATTATTAAAAGGACTTCTCCGTTTGGAGAACAAAGTTCATCACTCTAATTGAGCGTTACCCCTGCTTCGGACAAATTTGATATTTTTTATTTAATATTGATTTGAATGTCTTCTTTTGAATTATGATTAATTTAATGAATAATTTATTTATTTTTTATTAATTATTTTAAATAAATAATTTAATTTGGGTGACATTTCTATATTTTTTATGAAAAAATTATTAGTGCACTACTCTGATTTTTCCAAATCGAGACTTGTTTTTTATTGAATCGGTCTACTGCGTGTTACCCTAGCTTCGCGTCGGACAATAGTGATATTTTTACATCTTGTAGATTTAAATGTCCTTTTTTGAACATTTATAATTTAAAGTGGGTGATATTTTTATATTTTTCATAAAAAAATTATTAGCCCAGGAGGCTTTTCTCAAACCGAGACTTGTCCTTTAGAAAATACGGTGATCTACTTTTGAAAAATGTAGGTCAGAGGATTTTTATATATCTATAATATTGATTAACCCTCTAATAATAATCTCAGTATATGATAATAATCTCAGTATATAATAATAATCTCAGTATATAGGTATATTGATGCAATATTTTTGTAAAACTGATAGATGTAAACCATTGGAATGAGTTATAAATACCTGAAATTAGCACATGGAACTCCAATTAAGAAGGGATTAAATTTCCCAACATGCGGATATACCTTAAAACTCTTATGGACTTGGACCATAAAAGATTATTGGAAATTAGAAAAATAATAGCATTTTTGCATGAACTTATTGAACAGCCTTGCAATTTAAAACCAAAAGCTCTGTATTGTATGCGTAGCTGCAAGAGCAATTAATTTAGATGGATTGGAAATCTACGATAATTACGTAAAATTGTAGCTGGAGGAAGATGGTATATTCAACAACAACAAAAAGATTGATATACTGTTTTCTTCTTTCGCTGGTTTCATCAAAGCGATGTTTGATTGATTGTGATGTAATAGTAAATACACAATTATTATAGACGAGTGCCAATAAAGACAGGAATGTAAAGAATGTTGTACCATTGTATCCATGTTATTTGACTCAAATTACAGGCCCATAGCCAGGATTTGCAAAGGAGGGGTTCAGATTTCAAAAATTTCCAGGGGGGTACACACTTGATAATTTTGGCCCAAATGTGGCTAAAATCACTTGAGAAGTGCTCAAAATGGTGAAAAACTGCATGATTTTGAAAGAATTTTTGGCCAGGGGGGGGTTCGCAGTGTTCAGGCGAACCCCCCTGGCTACGGGCCTGAATAACATACAAAAATGCTAACTGGTTTATGCAACTCTGTCGAGCTAAACCTGTGTTTCAGACTCTTGAGTCCCCCGTCTTATCGAAATATCGTCAGACATGGAACTACTTGTGAACTTTCGCCTGATTGAAACGAGTTTGATTTTCTGTCTAGCATCTGCATTTAGGCATGAAGAACAGTATTTTGCGTCACGTAATCTCACCTTGTATTGTCTCCATATATCCTGTGTACGAAGGCTATAAACAATGGGGTCCAGTAACATGGCAATTACGGGGGCACATTCGAGGAATAATGTGTACTTAGTGATCTTCAGTTGAACTAATACAAAGTACAAGACTGATGGTAACAATAGTGCAAATGAGATAAGTGTAAGAATGAGTGTTGTTATACTACCACTGTATGTATCTCTCGTCTTTTCCATACTTGATAGCTTCTTTGTGCGTTTTATTGCTTTCCTTATATGGATCAGTACGTGTAAAACTAGCCCTATTGAAGTTATATAACAAATGATATGCAGCAAAGGCAATGCAAATGCCCGACAGTATATTCCAAATATTGAGCGTTTCGGAAACGTCCTAAAAAGAGCGCTAATTGTAGAAACGGTAGTGATTGAAACAATCCAGCTCATCAATATATACTTATGTATATGTGAGCGTGTTAGCAAAAATAAGCGTTTTAGCGGGTGAAGTACAGCGATGTATCGTACTAAGGCTATTCCAACCAATGAGAGAACTGCAACAAAGTAGGCCATTGCCCAGGGTACATCCAGCACCCAGAATGTAATGAGCCAATCATATTTTCCCATTTTTTGATTCATGATAAATCCATATACGATCTCTCGGATTAGACTCAAAATTGATGTTGCAATATTTGCGACGGCTAGATTCAGGAAGAGTTTGTTTGTAGCTTTTACAGGCCCTCTTATGTTCCTCACCAGATTTATCGCTATAACGTTAAGCAGTATTGTTGTGATACAAAGCGGAAAGTGAAGAATATAGAATATGATATTCTCCAATGAATAAGATTCATTCTCTTCTTCTTGATCAAAAATAGTGCACTGATTTCTTTGATATATCGGAAACTTGAATGGAAGGATTGTTGTAGCCGTGTTTTCTTCGTATCCATGGCAGTCTATATTTATGCTTGTTTGATTCTCCATCTTCTGCTCTTTCAAGCAAAGACCTTGAGCTTGTCTGTTCAAGTCAAGATGTTGTTTGTTCAAGTCTCATAAATTCCCTATGTTAGCTCATATTTGTAATATGAATCGCAATTGAAGTGAGATGTTCTAAGAGATTCACTGAATATTTACAGTCTTCAATCGTTCAATATCATTTAAAAATAATCTCTTGTGATAAACTTTTCATAAAAATGTCTAAATATTTTCTGTGATAACAAGATAGATTAGATAATGAAATATCATTTTCACATCCAGTTATTCCCGCCAAGTTCTGTTCCCTATCTCAGCTTCTCTTGTAGTTCAGTTTTTATCATCAGGCACTTACATCAATATTCTGCCTCAAGTATGAATGTCTATGGAATTACACATGGTTTTTACCTTGAAATGATTTCTTTAACCAAACAAGGTTTCCTTCATTATGATGCTGCACTGTGATGTTTACCGACATCATAGCTGGAATTTAGACAAAATTTCGATTAGATTAAGATTGAATAACTTCAGTTTTAGAGACAACTCATAACATGTTAACTTACAAATAAAGAAAAGTAATATCATGGGGCTTTCAACTGGTTGAAAGCCCATGGCAATATCTTATGTAATTTCAAGTTAGATTACACTGTTGTTCAAATATCTGGAATATTGGGAATTTCACAAAAATTAGTATATTGTTTTACTATAAGAATTACGTTCTTACCACCACCACCACCGAAAAGTGGTGACATATTGTTATGGTCTCCGTTTTTTACGCCGGTTGGCGGTTGGTGGTTGGCAATCGGCATAAGAAACAAATTCTTACAACTTCCAATAACTTAACAAATACTGTTAAAACTGACTTCAATTTTTTTCAAAATCATCTACATGTTTCCAGAAGTTCAAATCTGACTTTATACTTAAGATTTGACCTTTTTAAGGTCAAAAAAGATTAAAAGGGTTGTTTATCAACTTGCTTCAAATTGACCATTTACTTTCAAAATCATCTACAAGTTATCATAAGTTCAAATCTGACTTTAAGTTTGAGATTTGACCTTCAATGACCTTCTCAAGGTCAAAAAGGTCTTTTTTCAACTTGCTTCAAATACCAATTTTTTTTCAAAATCATCTACAAGTTATCAGAAGTTCATATCTGACTTCAAATTTGAGATTTGACCTTCAATGACCTTCTCAAGGTCAAAAAAGGTCAAAAAGGTCTTTTTTATGTCTTGTAAGAAAGTGGAAGAATAATTGTTCCAAAAAAGTATTCTTGGAAACCATTAAGTCTCAAGAATGGGACGTTCTTTTTCCAGAATATTTTTCCAGACAAGTCTATGAAAAATCTCCATTTATTAATGTTTGAGAGAGTATCGTAAACTTTCAAATTGGCAAATTAGAAAATATTCCATATATATGATCAATGGTGTACATGAACAAGTATACATCCTGTTGAAAAAGATAAAACAGGTTATGAAGTATTAATTGTCATTTGCAGCTGTCATGGCTAATAGCTCTTAAGGTTTGTTTAACTAGGATTTAGATGAAAATGTCATCTATTACATAAGCCCTGTAATATTATGATGTAACGCTACTTGGTTCATTGTATAGATATTCCGAGCAATAAATATCAGTAAAATAAAACAAGTAATGTCAGTAAATCAAACATTTGATATTTGTGAATCAATCAATTAGAATTAGACAATTAGCATCAGTGGATCAAGCAAATATTCTTAGTGAAGCGAATACGTTTGTATCAGGGAATCAAACAATTGATATCAGTAAATGGATTACATAATTAATTAAACAATTAATATCAATGAATCAAGAATGAATTTCAGAGAATCTAGCAATTGATATCAGTGAATAAATTAGTTAATTAATTGATCAAAGAATTAATAGCAGTGAATCAAGCAATTGATATCAATTAATGAATAAGTTAATTAATTAATCAAAGTATAAATATCAGTGATTCAAGAATGAATATCAGTGAATGAATTAGTAAATCAATCAATTAAAGAATATATATCAGTGAATCAAGAATATGAAGATCAGTGAACCAGGAATATGAATATCAGTGAATCAGGAATATGAATATCAGTGAATCTACCAATTGATATCAGTGAATGAATTATTTGATTTATTAATTACTGTATAACATGAAATATTGCCATGGATATAAAGTTGCCGATTGCCGAATGTAAAACAGAAACGGCAACATAAAATTCGGAAATATAATAAAGTAATTGAAGATCGATCTTAGTGGGCGATAATATGGTAGTTGTCTAAAATGTGTCAACTTACTGTAATAGGGTAATTTTCTAACGAGTATCAACTGACTATACTTTAACAAAAATCATAAATAAAAGACGATAAAATCGAAGCTTTATTCCCCAGCATTACAATTACAATAAAAAGTTAATAATAAAAATGTTGCAGTTAAAATGCATGCAGTAAATTCTACAAAATATTAAAAGGATTGTCATGTTAAAAAGTTAAAATGTCAGAAGATATAATCATATCCAAGTGCTTTGGAAATCCCAGTATTAAAAGTTTTTAATCCCAATATTAAAAGTTTTTAATCCTGGTAATAATTGTCCTGAGTCTATCGAATGCGGGTATTATGTGAATAAATCACTCAAATTGTCACTCATAATGTCAGGATGTCAGGTTTTCTGAGTCAGTCAAATGAAGGTGATTAAAATTCAGTTGTAAATCAAAATTAAATTAGGGGTGTCAGATTAGCAATATTTTATTTGGCTTTACATTTAGGGGTGTCAGGTCGGCAAACTTTTATTCGGCAATAACAATTTTAATCCAATTCAGAAAATAAAGCACCCGGATTTAATACATGTTATACAGTAACTAATATCAGTGAATGAATTAGTTGATTTAAGAATTAATATCCGTGAATGAAACATAAAATATTAGTGAAACAAACTATTTGATTGATTCACTGGTGTTAACAATTTGAAATGGGAATGATGATATTCCTTCTTACTTTTGCATAGGGCCTTTAAATCTATTCTAACAATTCTTTTGCAAAGGGCCTTTAAATTTATTCAAACAATTATTTTGCAAAGGGCCTTTAAATTTATTCAAACTATTCTTTTGCAAAGGGCCTTTGAATTTATTCAAACAGTTCTTTTGCAAAGGGCCTTTAAATTTATTCAAACAATTCTTTTGCAAAGGGCCTTTAAATTTATTCAAACAATTCTTTTGCAAAGGGCCTTTCAATTTATTCAAACAATTCTTTTGCAAAGGGCCTTTCAATTTATTCAAACAATTCTTTTGCAAAGGGCCTTCAAATTTATTCTAACAATTCTTTTGCAAAGCGCCTTTCAATTTATTCTAACAATTTTCAACTATATTCATCAACATCTACTTGTTTTTCACCCATATTGCACTGCCCTCTATAATGTAAAGATTTATTGTTTTTACAGGCAACAAGATGAGAGTCAAGAAAACAGTGTTCCTATGGTAACAAGAGTTGATCACAGAAAGACTTCCTGGATGAATGGTTTTATGATGTTTAGCAGACTCAACAGAACTAGATTTGTACAGTAAGTGAAAGTGTACATTAATACTTTTTAACCCCCCCCCACACCTCTTGGGTATAAATAAACAAAACAATGATGATTTCAAAATTGCAATTTCTGACTATCCACTAGCATCACTTCATCTTTATTTTTTGCGTAAATTCTTTGAAACTCAAAAGTTACCCGATCCTATCTATAGTCCAAGGTGTTATCACTAGTGTCTGTAACCTGAGTAAAAAATTGATAAAACTTGAACCTTTCATTACAAAAATAAGTCAACCTATTGAAAAGCCTGCATCTCACCTGTCATGTTATCTCTCCTGTTTTATTGCTCTGTATGGTAGATGATTCATATTATAGATAACAATCATATCCTCCTCTACCTACCATTTTACTAATATATATCCCATGCATATTTATGATAATTTAATGGTAATTCATTCAAAATCTATCTTTTTTGTATTTTTTAGTGAACAATATGAACAATTGCTTTTGACATGTAGATCATTTATTTATATTCTGGATAACACCCGTATAGTCCATACTAATTTACCAAGTTATCACATGAAAATATCTGCAGTTAATGTAATCATTATTTTATTCAGTCAAAATATATGTTTTTGTATTTTTAAGTCTGTTGAAAATATCTACAGTTGATATAATGGTAATTTTTTATTTTATCAAAACTATGATTTATATATGTCACCACTAAAAGTGGTTATGGTCTTCAACTTTTTTGTGAACACATTTGGCGGTTGGCGTCCGGCAGTCAGCATTGGCATCTGTAACAAATGACAGGTGGTGAATTTTTTCTTGTTAATGCCTTGTTTGTTTTTTAAGTCTGTTGAATAAACAAATGCTAGATGTTATTTTTCTGACATGCTGACAGGTTTTTAGAACAGAAAGCAAAACCTGTCAGGTAAATTATCAAATATCAAGTTTAGCTTTTTTAATTTTGCTGTATATTTGTAAAATGGCATACAGTTCATAGTGAGAGCAACTATGAAATAAATTGCATATCTTTTCCTTTAACCTCTTGAATTCCAAAGTATTTTTTATGTCACAACCAAGAGTGGTGCCATATTGTTACTTTTTTTGTGGATGGCATTCAGCGGTTGATGTTTGCCATTCATTGGTTGGTGTTTGATAGCTGGCTTTTGTAGCAAATGGCAGGTGCTTACTTGCCATGTTTATATTTTTGCTTGTTTTTGCCATATTTCTTTCTTAATCAACACTGTTTAATGTTCAGTTTGGTATTGTTACTGAACAATGAAAACCAAACACATTTAAAATATATTTTATATAAATTAAACAAAATTCAGTCTCATTTTATTCAGAAATTCTGTGATTTATATATCTGTCACTCTGGGTTAATTATAATAATAATTATCTCAATTTTTTAAGTTGATATTTTGAAAGAGTTACTGTACAAATGCTGAAATATGAAGTATTTGACTTTATATTTACTTACTAACTGTAGCCATAGTATTATAGTATAGTGTAGCTAACATACATGTAGCATAGCATGGTATTATGACACCATCTGGTTGTGTATTCATCATGATATCATGTTTGGTGGTATAGTCATTGTTACATGGTATTTGGTTGTGTTTTCAATAAGATGTCATATCTTTTGGTGTTATTTATTATGTCATCACATCCGGTATTGTGTTCTGGTGACTATGACATTGAGGTCTTATCTAACAATGTACTCAATATGACATCATATCTTACAATATACTCACTATAACATTGCATCTGACAATGTACTCACTATGACATTATATCTGACAATGTACTCAATATGATATCATATCTTACAATGTACTCACTATAACATTGCATCTGACAATGCACTCATATAGCATTGCATCTGACAATATACTCACTATAACATTGCATCTGAGAATGTACTCACTATAACATTGAATATGACAATGCACTCACTATAACATTGCATCTGACAATGTACTCACTATTAGACGAGTAGGAATTCAGATATAAATGGGAGTTTAATATTTTTTTTGACCCCCGCCGAAATTTTGGTATCATTGGAAAGCCCAAATACCATACTTTAGGAATTTAAGGAAAAATAAAATTTTCACTCGGGCCGTTGCTATGGAAACGGGCGTTATAAATAACAACCATTTTTAACAAGCATTATTAATGAAAAACATGTATTTGCATGTATCTTTTTTATTAATCATCAGATAATTATGATATGGGTATCAAATGAAAGCTTATGATGCCACCTTTACAATGAGGTATGAAGTATGTAAACTAGCTCGTTAACATAGCAATTGTGACGTCATAACTGACAATTTTCAAAAGATTTTAATGTAAAAATCGGTTATGTACCTATATAAAGGTCCCATTATTTAAAATCATGATGTATTTTTCCCACTTTTCATATCAATTTGAAAGAGTATAATAGCAGCTTTAAAATGATGTATGCAATGTGCCATTTCGGTCCAATAGATGTTTAATGAGACCAAATGGTGTAACATGCACAAACAAAAATTGTTTTGAAACTAATCCTTTTTGAAAGAAATATCAACAAAAAAGAAGGTTGGAGGTATGTTTTATCTTGAGGTATCATTTTCATTTCTCGTCAAATGATTAAATGTTTGGTATCAAATAAAAGGTAATGCATTTACCTATTTGATAAAGTATGATTTATACAAAATAGCCCACAAGCGTTTTAATTATGACGTCATAACTGACATAATTACCACAAAAAGTCAGAGTAATCACATATCCATGTGTTTAGTTGAATAGAATTATCATTTTCTGTCGGATCTTAATGTTTATTCAAAGTACCACATTTATTTTTGTAAACATATTTAAAAAATATCTAGCAGATAACTGCATGTATATTCATTGTGAATTGTAATTTAATAATAGCTTTAGTCATTATTCGTGCATTTAGCTCTTAAATAATCAAGTTCAAACATTGACCCTAAAACTGACAGAAGTTTTTTTCCAAAATAACTTTTGGCAAGAAACAATATCATACCATTTTCAATAGCCATAGATAAAAGACATATCTATTATTTAGTACAAAAAACAAGTAAATGGAGGGGGATCAGTAATTATTTACAAGGAGGGATTTGATATGGGGAATATCGCAAGGATGATATCTCTTCCGAGGTCAAGAGTAACATATACCACAAAAATCACCTGATGGATGTAAAAACAATAAACAATTTTGGAAATATTGAGAATATATACATAACATGTATATAACTGTTAAAACATGAAAAATGATGACTAGAAATAACACTTGAAGTCCTTTTATGAATCAATTGGTAACTGTTATCACTTCTCCTTTCCCTTTGAGAGTACATACTCAACAATGAATTGGATTTGGATTACGATTTTTCCCAGAGCAATACGATTTTTTCATGTAATACGATTCAATACGATTTTTATTCCTTCATATTTCCCTGGGAAAACAGTAGTTAAAATTGGAATAAAATCCCGTATTAATAGTTTTTTCGTTTCGGGATTTTATTCCAATTTACTACTGTTTTCCCAGGGAAATATGAAGGAATAAAAATCGTATTGAATCGTATTACATGAAAATCGTATCGTATTACATAAGCTTATTTTTAAGCTAACATGTTTATCATGGAATAAAGGGTTTACGTAAAAGACCGACCCCACCGACCACCGACCGGTCGGTGTTTTCCACTGGTAGCCTCAAAACAGGGTTTGAAGAAAATGTGTAAAAGACCGACCATATCATGTAAAAGACCGAACATATTTGTAGCCTTAAAATATTAATAATTTGATTTTGAATGTCAATCGTTGGACTAGGCAACGTTTTTTACCGATTTTGTACCTTGCAACGAATGGCAAGCAAACAAATTGGTCATGACCGTCTCCTCTCGATTAATTGTCCTGCCTTAGGTCCTAACCTATCATTAACCAACCTATCGTTTCTACGGGAATCTATCCTAATTTTTTACTGAAATTTAACAATTTCGAAACAAAAATGATTTGTTATCGTCATAGCCTACTGAATACTGAACACGATATAATGTTACATGCGTTCTCTTATCGGGATTAAAAGTGACTTACAGTACCATTTGAGTACACCATTAGAAAGCTTTTTTGTCATATCAAATGTAGTTTTTACCAGTTGACGTTTAACAACTGAGAAATCAAACATAACGTTACGACGTCAACATCGACGATGTTTGTGTGTTTTTGTTATTGCGTTTCAGAACTTAATGCAATGTTACGTGCGTTTTTTTCCAAAGTGACTAACCAGGATGAAATTGGTCTTCTAACAACTGAAACATCACTTTAAAATATGACATTACACACCACTACGATGAAACGTTTTCATCGTGATTTGAAATGATTAATTATACGTTTTTAAATCACGACCTAGTAAAGGTACTATAGTCATTGGATTCCCAGTTTTAGTTTTACTTCTAATTTTGCATTTTTTCATCTTTATGTAAAAGACCGTCAGCCGACCACCGACCACATGTACCCAACTGGCCCAACTATGGAGAGTGAATGGTCGGTGGTCGGCGGTCAGTGTTTTCCGTAAACCCTGGAATAAATCAGTTATTTCTGGTCGGGATTGAATGTGTGTTTTATTCCTCGGAAAATATGATATTGCGCTCCCTTGGTCAATATCATATTGTCCCTCGGAATAAAACCCATATTCAATCCCTCCCAGTAAATAACATATATTTGGCTGACGGGATTCAATACGGGATCTGATAGGGGATTTTGGCTGATCTGATATAGGATTTTTTGAATATTAATTCTATTCCCTGTTTATTTCCCAGGGAAAACATGTTATAATGGAATAAATAGAGGTTATTCAATGGAAGGGATGGAATATGAATTCTATTCCGAGGGAAAATATGATATTGACCAAGGAAAAAATAATATTGACCGAGGGCGATAGCCTGAGTGTCAATATGATATTTTCCAAGGCCCTTATCATATTTTCTCAAGGAAAAAATTCATATTCCATCACAACCATCAATAACCTATTTATT